AAGTGTGTGTGTGTGTGTGTGTGTGTGTGTGTGTGTGTGTGTGTGTATATATATATAATATTACATATTACTGGTTTGGACTTTTATTCTGCTTGCACAATATAAATGTCAGATACCTAAACTGTCATTAATTTTTAGTTTTGCGATCAGTTCCTCTTGAGGAGGTCTAATATAGAATTCTCCTATGTTGGTTGCAACACTTTTAAAGTTAGGAAATTTGTCATCTAGAATATTTAGAGTTCCAAGGATGTCTTAGTAGTGACAGCATGAGACCTCCAGCATGTCATTCAAATTGAAGTCCCTCATGATCATGCAGCTTTTTTTCCTATGTATTTATAGGTAGGTGTGTAAAGTGTTGGTCATTCTGTTCCCTAGCATGATTTGGTGGTATGTAGCAGACACCAGCATTAAACCCCCAGTTTGTGCTTTATCTGTTAGGGTGCTGAACCATAGGCATTCAAGGTCATTTTCTTCTGAGTTATCAGTGACTCGGAAACAGGTAATGTCCATTTTGATATAAAGTGCCACTTCCCCTCCCCTTTTGTCCACTCAATCATTCCTAAATAGGTTATAACAATAGATTATCAACATTCCAATTGTGTGACTCATCCCACCAGCTTTCAGTAATACCAGCTATATTGAATTTATGCTCATAAATGAGCAATTCTAATTCTTCCTGTTTGTTACCCAGGCTCCTAGTATTGGTGTATAGGCAATTAAAGAATTTATCTTCATGTCCTTTGGATCCTTAATTAATTTGGTTCTCAGTATCTGTATTCTTTGCTAAATGAGTGCTCAAATCTTTCCTAATTTTTACCTTCCCCTTTTATTAGTTTGACGCCTGCCTGACTCTTCCAGCGAGTCTGCCCCAAGGAGATTGGTTTCCCTTATACTGAGGTGGAGACCATTCAAACTGTGCTGTCTCCTCTGATCACAAAAGGTGGACCAATGTTCCACAAAACAAAAGCACTCAAACCTACTTCACTTAGCTCTAACCACTAGTTAACTTCCAGAATCTTCTGCCTTCTGTCTTCCTTCACTCATGGGACACGAAGGATCACAGAGAAAATTGCTTGGACGTTCTTCAGCATGCTTCCAGGTTCCCTGAAGTAATCTTTTATCTGTTGGATATCCTGCAACGCTATGCCATTAGTGCAGATATGAACCATCGCAAATAGATTTTTGCCTGTTGACTTCAGAAACCTGTCCAATCTTAAAGTGGTGTCTTATGTCTTGGCTCTGGGAAGGGTGTAGCATGCCAGTTCTAGGAAAAACAAGTTACAGGATCCCCTGGTTGTAGATAATGATGTGTATTGCTAGGAGTGGGAGGTTGACACTTGAAACAACTGGAATTGCAGTAGTACAGGGGCAGGCTTCCCTCCTCCTTCATACCCGTCACGATTCTCAAAACTTTTTCATATCTCCCTCCATCCAGGTCCTGGCTCTTGCAGAGACCTGGGTCCTTTTGGCTGACGCTGCCTCTGCAGCTACCTTCTGTTATGGAGGCCTCTCCTTTCCTCAGGCCATGTCTAATGCTATGGGGACTATACCAGAATAACTATGGCTCTGTACATATGCTGGTATTACCCTGTATTCTGAACACAGCCCACACCAATGGAAGGGGTTTTTCCATCAGTGTAGGAACACTGTCTCCTTGAGTGATGGTAGCTAGGTCGATGGAAGCATCTATGCTGGAGGTTTGGTTGGCAAAACTATGTTTCTGTGGGGTGAGGATTTTCCATACCTCTGAGTACCATAGCTATGCTGACCTAAATTTTAAGTTTAGACCAGGCTTTATTCCTTTGACCCTGAATCAGACCATTGCAGAGGAGGCTGTGGATGTTGGGCTTCTTTCTCATTCCTGCTGTGTCCAACTCCACCCTGCTCCTTCCCATTCTTTTTATTCTTTTGAATAATACTACCTCTGACTCTCATTTCCACTTCCCTCCTTGTTGCTATCATCTACTGTCCACCCAACTCTTTCCCAGTCAGACTTCCTCTCTGATTTTGACTCTTGGCTGTCTCTCTCATCTGCTCTTTACAATCTCCCACTCTCTCGTCCTGGGTGACTGACCCCTACTTCCATGTTGATAACTACTCAACCCTTTTCCTTGCCCTCACCTCCTTTCATTCAGCCTGCAGCCCTGGTTCAACTCTCCCGCTCATCAAAAGGGCTGTTCACTGGACTTCGTCTTCACTAAGCACTGCATGCTCGTGTGCATGCACACTCTCTCTCTCTTTATTGCTGAATTCCCCCTCTGATCCCTTTCAGTATCGCCCAAGTGCCCC